AAACGGGCCATTAGGGGCTGGAACATGGATCTCATCGAAGTGCACTGGAGGCGGTGGAGTTGGCTACTCTACGGCTGCGGCCATGGCCCGAGCTATCCTGCAAGCGTAAGATTGAGATTGATGCCACTCTAAATCCTGCTGCGTCTGATAGTTTGACGCCCCGCAATGCCTACACCGAAAGCCTTCGCCCGTCATAGTCGACGCCATGCCTGTGCTGCTCGGCTGGATGAATCTTTTGAACTATCTAAGAAAATCAGCAAATTGATATCTCAAAATCTTAAAGTCGGGCGCCATTTTGCAGCGGGAGTATGAAGTTCATAACAGCGGCACCGTGAAAGTGACTTGGCGCATGAACTCCTAAATGGATTCAAGTAGGCGCCCTTTTGAACGTGTGCGCGCCGTGCCAATGACAACTATTTATACTTAAATGTTTAGGATAATTGTGCTATGAGCGGCACACGATTGTCACCTTCAACCTTTCTCGGAATTGTGCGCCCTTACTAGGAGAGTTGCAATGTCGCCAGCCCCAAGTGAAGAATGTGTGGGAGTGATGGCTGGTGCCGCGAAGTACATTGGTTTCTTTTTGGCAGTGCGTACCAGGTGCTTACTCTGGTTGTCATTTGAATTTTTGGCGCCGAGAGCGATTTGCATCGTAGATTTGTCCGTACAATGCACCGGTCACATATGACCGTCGATATACGTACCGGTCTCTTTAAGGTACCAACCGTTCGTCCTGCGATTTGCGCCGTCGATTCGACATCGACGGTCATGAGATAACGGCGGGCAAATTGAAACTTCACTCTATGATGAAGTCTAGACTGGAGACTCCAAGTGTAGACCTGCAGGCTCAGTCACAAGTCACATTTGCTTGAGATAGTAGGAGAAGGGCGCCACATTGATCCCGGCGCATCCTAGCGGCGCATTCTACCCTCTCAGTAGCTTTCTCCAAGAACATTCAATCAAGGCATTGTGTAGGTCCGGCATAACGCCGCAGGTGCGTCCAGCAACCATGCCACGCGCCCGTGAGGATGGCGTTCAAGCAAAGCGCCTTAGGGCTCAGGCCGAGAAAGACAAGCAAGATGCCCTGAAAGCACTGGATGCTAAGGAGAGAAGATTACAGCAAGAGCGCCTAATTTCAGATGAAGCTAAAAAGGAGGCCAAGAAGAAGCTAGAATCTGAGAGGGACCGCGCAACAAACCAATATTACGAGGTGACCCCCGGCAACGACCAAGTTGCCAGTAGGCCGACATCCAATGGCAAGGGCGCGCCTACTAACAGTGTTTCTCGGGAGAGTGCTCGGGCTTTGGCGGCCGCTCCTAAAAGCAAGGGAAGTGCGGTAGGGAAGGAGTCTCCTCCGCCCGAGGATGAGACTCATTATCCGGGTTTTGATAGAGGGGACGAGAATGAACCCCATGATTTGGACGAACGCGCCATTCCTTTCGCTAGGCGTGAAGAAGATGATGAGGACCGCGGCTCTAGCAGTGAAAGTGACAACCCGCGGGGTGGCAACGATTCTGAGGACCTGGAGGACGAGCGGATCCGGATCGGCATTGGCAGGCGCGGACCCAGGCATGAGCCGGAGCAGCCTCTAGCCTTGCCAGGCTAGGGCAGGTTAGTAACCTCTCGCGCAGAGATTCAAAATGTGCCCAATGCAAGATGTTATTTGAATGCTTGCGCGGCGAGTCCAATGGAAAGTCTGTGCTGTAAAATGGCTCGACAAGAGGCGCGTGCACGGGTTCAAATAAAGCTGTTTGTACTCCCATCAGTGAATGCTTGCGCGAGATGGCAAATGTATAAGTCAAAGGGAAGACCTGTGCTGTCAAATGGCTCGACAAGAGGCGCAAGCAAGGGCTCCAATTATGCTGTTTGTACTCCCATTTGTGAACGCTTGCGCGAGATGGCAAACCTATAGACAAGCGACCTCAGTATTCCATACAAGGTTGTGATGCCTGACACGCTGTAGTCCCAACTACTTTTCAGATGGTGGCCGGGCCGCAGGAGGCCGGGCACTGGTGGTCGCTGCGGATGTGGACGAGCGCTTTGTCATGCCCCCCGGCAGGGCCGCCGAAACGGTGGGTGATTGAGTTTGCAGAAAGAGCGCTCAATGTTTCACACATGCCAAGCCACATTGTCATTGTTCGGATCTGTACGCAAAGCTGTATAGCTACTCCTCTACCGTTTTGAGGAATCATGAGTCATTCAAGCAGTGCTTTCTTATCGATGCAGAGTGTGGAGAGAGCGACGGCGGTTGTCTGCATGATTGGGTGGGCCAAGGACTGTGACCCCTACCCTAAGCCGGAGACTCTCATGAAGTATCGGGCAATGATTGAGAGGATGCCAGAGTATGAATTAGATGGGAGCCCCTCTGACCCCGTCGCCTTCTAGGAGAGGCGAACAAGTATCTGATGCACCATCACACTAGTAAGAAAATGTCGAGCACCAGGGGGGAGTTTGCATGTAGGGGTTAAGGGGGTCCGAGGGACCTTTGCTCAGCATGAGCATTTCACTCTTGAGTTGTGCAAGATTGACGAGCAGACGGCGGAGATGAAGGCCAGGGGGGAGGAGCTTCTGAAAGGTGGGTTACTGATTCAGATGCAAGCAATCATGGTAGCAATTGCAGGGGTACGGAACTTGCACGTGGAGTGGAGACTTTCCTTTCAGGAACAGTTTACTGATGAGTCTTTCAACATATTGTGTTGCAGACGGGAAATGGCACACCGACAGAGCGGGAAACCCCTTCTCGTCCGACACCTTCACCGTCATCTGCAACAACGTGTGGAGAACGGAGGGTTGCCTCATCACGGCCAAGCAGTTGGTGTGGACTTGCGTCGTGGTAAGTCGAAAGAGTTGTTCGATCGAACGGTTTGAATGAGGAAGTTGAAAGATTTGCCATGATAGCTTGAAGGTATTGCATCTTGTATTACAATACACAGTCAACAATGAAGTTTCCTCCGCAAGAGATTCGGAATCTAACCAACCTTGTGCCCCTTGCAGGTGGACAAGATGCTGCAGGACAAGAAGTTGAGCATTGACAGAGACGGCAATGCCAGGATCCTCGACACCGTCGGAGTCGAGGTAGGAAAGATCATTGCGGTGGCCGCGAAGAAGGCAAAGAAGAAATTGGGAGTCGACATCAGGAAGATAGACACTAGGATTAACCTAGCGACCGCCACCATGGCATACATCAAGACATGCTAGGGGGCAAGAAGAAGGGCCAGAAAAGTGCCAAGGTAGAGGTTGAGCTAGAGAGCCTCCAGCTTTCAGGGACAACTTTGGCAACAGTGATGGTAAGAAATAGGCTTAGACTCTGCATGAAAGGAGAATAGTCGACACGAACACTTGGGCTTGTGGTTTGGCTTCCAATGCGACTTGTTTGGCTTGTAGCACCATCACCGCACTTGCATGCGCAAGGATTCAATCATACACATCGCCTGTATTGATTATTGATTCTGTGCGCATGAGCAGCTTCGTCACGCATGTATTCAATTGTAATCCCATGAGAACATGTTTGTTGAATGTGTGCGCCATGCCTGCTGGACAGACGCTGAGCGGCACAATCCGATCGCCGCGCCATACAGCATGACGCATTACCAGTTGCCGCTCGGCAGTATGACCGGCGAGCTTGCATGCCGCCAATTACATATGTTCGGCACACCGGCTGTGCCGCATTAGACGCCGGGCAGCACTGCCGCCACTCTTACCATGCATGCCGCATATATCATATGATGCCGAATGTGATGCCGGCCGTGGTGCAGTATCAGCATTATGCACAGCACACTTCAATGCCGTGACAATGCCGAGAAGGATGCCGGCCACCATGAGTGCATAGTGCCGGATACCTAAGTACCGACCGGTTCTACCTGCTGCTAAAAATATCCCTAAGCCGCATCAGGTGCCGCCAAAAACGGCCGGCAGAAGTCCGAAGTCCGGCATGCTTCGGCACGGGGGCCGTTGCCGACCGGCGATGTATCTGTGTAAGGTGCCGTGGGTGCCGGCGGCACTGCCCGGCACATGAGCGGCGACCCCCTCTTTATCCGATGGACGAGCAGAGCAACCTATAAAAAGCAAACTAGCGGGGGACATGCGCCAAATACTCGAGGAACAACGTGTGGCTGGGGCGACAGCAACACCTGCAGGCGGGGTCAGAAGGGTTCAATAAAGTTGGAGAGGAAAAACGATACAAGATTGAGGAAACTGGAGTAGCAAAAGCCATTCAGTGACTAGATTTGATATAGCAAAAAACTTGGAGAGCATTGTTAGAAGT